CGCAGGAAGCATCAAAAGAAGATGGAAGGAATACACATAGTCATTATACCAAAAAGAACTGGTCGATATTCAACCATTTCAAGAGATACCATATGATCGGGAACCAATGGTAGTGAAGGAAGAATTCCAAGCTGCACTGAAGGCGTTGGCAAAAAACAAGGCTCTAGGAATTGATGGAATATCAATTGAGATGTTTCAACAAACAGATGCAGCACTAGAAGGGATCCATATTTATGCGTATTCCCAAGAAAGGTGATCCAACCGAATGCAAAAATTGTCGAACAATATCATTAATATCACACACAAGTAAACTTTTGCTGAAGATCATTCAAAAGCAGCTGCAGTAGTATATCGACAGGGAGCTGCCAGAAATTCAGGCTGGCTTCAGAAGAGAACGTGGATCCAGGGATATCATTGCTGATGTCAGATGGATCCTGGCTGAAAGCAGAGAATACCAGAAAGATGTTTACCTGTGTTTTATTGACTATGCAAAGGCGTTCGACTGTGTGGATCATAACAAATTATGGATAACATTTCAAAGAATGGGAATTCCAGAACACTTAATTGTGCTCACGAGGAACCTGGACATAGATCAAGAGGTAGTTGTTCAGACAGAACAAGGGGATACTGTGTGGTTTAAAGTCAGGAACGGTATGCATCAGAGATGTATCCTTTCACCAGACCTATTCAGTCTGTATGCTGAGCAAATAATCCAAGAAGCTGGACTATATGAAGAAGAACAGGGCGTCAGGACTGCAGGAAGACTAACATTAACAACCTGCATTATGCAGATGATACGACCTTGCTTGCTGAAAGTAAAGAGGACTTGAAGCACTTACTGAAGAAGATCAAAGACCACAGCCTTCAGTATGGATTACACCTCAACATGAAGAAAACAAAAATCCTCACAACTGGACCAATAAGCAACATCATGATAGCAGAGAAAAGATTGACGTTGTCAAGCATTTCAATATACTTGGATCTGTAATCAACACCCATGGAAGCCGTAGTCAGGAAATCAAAAGACGCATTGCATTGGGCAAATCTCCTGCAAAAGACATCTCTAAAGTGTTGAAAAGCAAAGACGTCATCTTGAAGACTAAGGTGTGCCTGACCCAAGCCATGGTATTTTCAATTGCATCATATGCCTGCAAAAGCTGGACAATGAATAAAGAAGACCGAAGAATTGATGCCTTTGAATTGTGGTGTTGGCGAAGAATATTGAATATACCACGGACTGCCAAAAGAACGAACAAATCTGTCTTGGAAGAAGTACAACCAGAATGCTCCTTAGAAGCAAGGATGGCGAGACAATGTCTGACATACTTTGGACGTGTTGTCAGGAGGGATCAGTTCCTGGAGAAGGACATCATGCTTAGTAGAGTACAGGGTCAGGGAAAAAAGGAAGACCCTCAAAGAGACGGATTGACAGAGTGGCTGCAGCAATGTGCTCAAGCGTAACAAAGATTGTGAGCATGGCACAGGACGGGGCAGTGTTTTGTTCTGTTGTTCTGTTGTACGTAGGGTCACTATGAGTCAGAACCGACTCAGCGGCACCTAACAACAACAACAGCAATGAAACGAAACTGGTAGAGACCGAATTTTTCAAAATTTGAGTGATCTGGAACCATAACCAGAACGGGAGAAATTATAGGCTGAAACCCTGGACTAGGAAACTCAGAAGAGGAGTTGTGAACCCTTTCAGGAGTCTGATGCATAAGATTGGATTATTGTGAGGACTAAGGAGAGCGACACACAAAGAGTGGTTGGCCACCATCTTGGAGCCAGGCACCACTGTTTCCAACTCTGCGCAGAATTCCACGGGCAAGAGATTTGGTTGCTCTGCAACGCTTACACTGCCCTTGTTTTCTACAAGGGAGATTAAGTTTCTAGCAAGGCTTCATATTTTTTCCCATTCCAGCTATGTTCCTGGGTCACCCAGATTTTAAAAATTCAGGTCTGTTCTAGTGTCACCTCCTTGGCCATGACTGAACTGGGAAGAACTGGTTCAAAGCCCTGGTTTTAGAACATCAAATGAATGTCCTCAGGACCATGGCTTAGTTGGAGGTGGCCAAAATGCCCTTATTTCCCATAATGCCTAATGGACAACACAAAAGTGTTCACTAGTTCCTAATCCCATTTAAAAATTGGGCAAAGAAATATTTCTCAGTGGTTCTAAATGTGTGGGACCCTGACCAGCAGTATCAGCATCATCTTAGAACATGTTAGAAATGCAAATTCCCAGGCCCTATCCCAAACCTACTGAATCAGAAACTGGGAGTGGAGCTCAATAATATGTGCTTTAACAAGCCTTCCAGGGGGATGCTGATGCACATTAAAGACTGAGAACCACTGGGCTAGATAGACTGAGATATCCAATCGAGGCCTTCTTTAGGCAAGCCAGAGAACCTAAGTTGGGTACACCTTTAGAGAACTAAATTTATTGGTAAAGAGTTGAGTTTTTTCAAAGAGGAACTTTTAAAAAGTTTTCAGCCAAGGGAGTTAATTTAAGGCACCTGAACTAGATGTATATAAGCAATATCTCTTTGAAAGAGTATAAGAAAAATGAGGTGGTTTCTCTTGATATACAGTATGGGAACATTTCTGAAACTCCAGATGCCTTACACTAACAAACTGCAGCTTAAACAGCAGGTAAAGTTTGGCTTCGTACAGAAGAAGGAGGAATTACGGCATAGAGGTTAAAAGGGCAGACTCTGGAGGAACACACTGCAGGATTCAAATTCTGGCTGTCCCACTTTTTAACTAGGTGACCTTGGGCAAATTACTTACCTTTTCTGAGTCTGTTTCATCATCTGTAAAATGTGGGTCAGCATAGTTTTTAACCCATGTGATTGCAGTGAGAAAAGTATTGAGTACAGTGTCTAGTACAGAAACATCACGTAACCAGTGGTGGCTATCACTATTTTGATGTTTGTTAAGAGAATAGGAAATACAGTCTATTGGCCAACTGGATGAAGCAGAAGTAGAAGCCGTCTCCAACTAAACCAATTTTTTACCAATTTTAATGGTAAAGATATCTTTTTTTTTTTTTTTTTTTAAAGCCATTGAGATTCATCAGAACTGGTCTAGGTTTAATTGAAAAACCCCTTATTTGATGCTGGACTTTGGAATTCATGGTCTTTTGTTTGTTTGTTTGTTTTTAAACAATCACTGAGATTACCCTTGTCTTGAAACGACATCTTGAATAGATAAAAATTAGCAGCAAAAATAAAAAATTCCCATTTGGCTTAGTATTTTGGTGTCCAATAAAAAAAATGTGTACTATATCCTAGCAATTCAAGCCTACCAGCTGCTCCACAGGAGAAAGATGTGGTAGTCTGCTTCTATAAAGATTTACAGCCTTGGAAACCCTATAGGGCAGTTCTACTCTGTCCTATAGGGTCACAATGAGTCAGAATCAACTCCACAGCAGTGAGTTTTGGTTTTTATCTCCCAGCAGTTGTGGAACTCATCTATCAGCACAACATTCTAGCACTGATAAGTAAAATACTGTATTTACAAAATACCCTGAACCCTTCATGCTGGTCTGTTAATCTCAGTAACCTATATAATTACCCATTGCTGTCAAGTGGATTCCAACTCATAGGGACCCTATAGGACAGAGTAGAAGTGCCCCATAGGGTTTCCAAGGAGCAGCTGGTGGATTTGAACTGCCGACCTTTTGGTTAGCAGCCATAGCTCTTAAACACTGCGCCTCCAGGGCTCCACCTATATAATTAGTCACGTTTATTAATGTAGTATTGTGCAAACAACAATAAGCTGGGAGTCACTGTTTGACTTTGGTTATCCAAAGCATCTTCAATGATTTTTACTTCTGTCTTTTCTTAAACCACTGTCCCACCCCTACACAGACATCTTCGTATCCCCCACCCCATGTGCCTAAATCAGTGCCGAGTACTTCTTTGGCACTCAGTTAATATTTGCTCAACTGAGCCAAACAATTCAATGAGTTGATAGCATTCATAATTTGGGATTGAACTGAAATTGTCCAGGGAAACATTCTCAGTATGAAATACGTCTGTTCCTGGCGGAGCCCGAGGAGAACTGGCTTTCGAATCGTCATGGTATCTTTCATCCTTTGTGTACTTTTGATCAGGGATAATCTCTTAAGTTGAGATCTGGTCACAGGGGAGCCTTTACCTCCAAAATGGCATCAGAAAAAGAAATGTCTTCAGAAGCTAAGGCATGGCTGAAAGTCTGCCAAGCTGAAAAAGATTATCCGGATGAAAATTGGAGTGTTCGCCCTCTGAGATGCCGTTTTCCCAAAGTGCAGATGCTTACAATTTCAAGCGTCTTCTTCCTGGTGGGTTATTAGATCAGTTCTCTAATACAGTATTTCAGTTAAGTGAAGTCTGGCCACATTCCTGCAGTCCAACATATGCCTTTAAAAACCAAAGACAAACTCCACACCGGAAAAATCCTCTCCGTCCCTTCTTCCGCATTTCTCTCCCATACTCCCACCCAAGCACCAGCAAACGTCAGCCTGTGGATTTCCTCAACCCAATACACTAGATGCCTCTTTTATTGCATGTTGTAGCAGGAGAGAAGGATTAAATTACCGAGGCTGTCAGGAAGGACAAGCACTCTGCCATACATTATCATTATCACTCGCTCCTTGGGTGAAAGAAAATGCAGTAAATCCCTCAAATACAAAGCAATAAAATGCTGGCTTTTACCATCATGACTGCCAGTGCCATCAACAGGCAGTGACAGCCATGTGGCACTCTTAGATGTTGCTTGTATCCTTTCTGACAGTGTGCACATAAACCTGCTAGTGATATAACATTAGATCACATGACTATTCAGATGTGATTCTGATTTCCAGAGCTGCTTCCTTTTCCCAGGCATACAAGTGAGCTGGCATGACTTGCATCTTTAAAAACAGTTATTCATAAAAATACAGAACGGTTCTAATGTGAGCGTATTCCTGAGTGCCTTCTTTTTGTGGATTTTTTTTTATTATTATTATTATTATCTAGTGATCTACGTGGATAAAGAAAACAACCAAGCAAAGAGAGAAGTCTTAAAAGCTGTACTGCAAAAGCAAGAGATGCCTAATAAAAGGTACATTTTAAGCACTCTAAATTATTTGATGGTTTGTATAAAGTGGATGTTTCTCTGTGGCATGGTGTGGTGCAAAGGTGCAAGATGAGGAATCAGAACACCTGGGTTCTCTGGCTCACTCTGTGACTCTGAGTGATATGTAACCTCCCTGGGCATCTTTCCTGCTAGAAATATAGTGGTCCTGCCTGCCATACAGAGTAACTGTAAACATCCTATAAAAACCCATTGCCGTCAAGTTGATTCTGACTCATAGCAACCCAACTGCCCCATAGGGTTTCTAAGGAGCGGTGGTGGATTCAAACTGCCAACCTTTTGGTTAGCAGCCTGTGCTCTTAACCACTGCACCACCAGCACCATGTTATATTTGCAGATATACAAGTGTCACTAAACAAGGCAGACAGCACATTAAAATGGGACTTTAAAATTTATATATTTGAAGTCATGGGTTTGACACTGACTTACAGTTCCTTTTTGGATTCATTTCTCCCTTTAACAGTGTTCTATTGAACAGATCTAACATAGCCATCAGGATCCACTACAGAAGACTCACTCCTGTTTTACATAAAAATGGATTCGTTCAGAATGAGGAAAGACGTAAAAGTCACATTACATGGTTTAAGAAGTTTTAGTACTTTCTGCTTTCCTAAATAACAGCAAGTAATGTTTGAGATCTAAGTCTCAAGGCCCAGCCCAAGGTGGACCTTCTCTAGGAAACCTTCCCCAACTGTACCAGCCTTCAACAAAGGCTCTCATTTTGCAGCTCACAGAGTAATTGGACAAATATTTATTGATCCTCTCCTGAGTATCAGGAGTAAAATGGCTAACAAGACAGCAAATTCTCTGCCCCCATGGAGTTTGTATCCCACTGAGGAAGACAGGCAATAACAAGTAAACAAATAAACCAATTACATATTTTGATAAATACTAAGAGAAAATTAAACAAGGTGCTAAGACATAAAATAACAAGGAAGGCAAATCTTGAGGAGGTGACATTTAAGCTGGTTAGTGAAGGATGAGAGGTCCCAATCACATCACCAGTTCTCAGGAAGATCTTTCCAGGCAGAAGGAATTCCAGGCGTGGAGGAGTACGCAGAGGTGTGTTCTAGGTCCTGACAAGGGAGGCTAGCAAGGCTGGGTCTTGCTGAGCAGTGAAGAGATGCAGGATGGGGAGGTGGGAGCGGGAGGCAGTAGCAGCTGAGGTAGCACTTCTGTCTTTAGCTCCATCCACATGGCTACTTGGCATCTACTTCATGTGTGTGTCCTGGTCCTCAGACTCGACTAAGGTTCTTGAGGACATGGAACGTGTTTTGGCAGGATGAAAGGTAAGATGTAAGAGGAGGGGTGTGTGTGTGTGGTTTTTAAATTATTTTAGTGTCCTTTCTTCCCTTCTTAGCTTAGCTTTATAGTTTCTAAATTTTATAGTTGTCATCTCATTTTGCTCTCTATAGAATTTAAAGCCAGATAGATTTTTTTATATTTATTTCTAGCCCTCTCTCTGACATTTTGAAGGTTTTTGTTTGTTTTTTCTTGTCTCAGAATTTTCACCTATTCAATGGAGATAATAGCCTGTATTTGTAAAGTGATGTGTATATGATCCTTAGATACAAAAAAAAAAAACAAAACCCATTGCCACTGAGCTGATTCTGACTCATATGAGGCACATATAAGGATAACATTTAACATTATTATTACAATCTGTGTAGCCTCCATCTTTCTGTAAGTCTCCTGATATAAAATGTGCATCAAAATATCATTTTTAACATGATAAAAGTAGTTAATGTCACTGAATTGTACATATAAAAAATATGTTGAAATGGCATAATGGTATATGTGTACTCACCACAAAAATAATTAATTAAAAAAATGTATCACTTTTAATTACCACTTTTCTAAGCACATTCATTTTTGGATAATTTTTTTCACCATCATTATTCTTATTTAATTGAGCGATAAAGTCAGTGTATAATTTGGGAACCTAACTGAGTTTTCAGTTGAAACAAGCTTTTCCCGTGCCTTCTTTTTCTTTCCCCTTAGAAATGAAGAAGCTTAAGCAGCTCTACCAATATTAGAAAATGGTAATAATAAAAATAGCAAACATTTACTCAGTGCTTACTGTGTTTCAGGCACTGTTTATATGTATCATCTCATTTGATCCTCACATTAGCCCTTTAAGGTGGGTGTAATTATCCCCATTCCACAGATGAGGAAACTGAGACCAAAGAGGTTTAGTAATTCGCCCAAGGTCACAAAGCTAATAAGTAGAAAAGCAGGAATTTGAACCCAGACTGGATGCTCTTAACCACTCCATCTTAATCCTTCTGTCCTATGCATCTTAGCCACTTATAGGAGCCTTGGTAGCGCCATGGTTAAAGCACTTGGCTGCTAACTGAAAGGTCAGTGGTTTGAACCCACCACCCGCTCTGCGGGAGAAAGATGTGGCAGTCTGCTTCCGTAAAGATTTCAGCCTTGGAAACCCTGTGGGGCAGTTCTACTCTGTTCTGTAAGGTTGCTGTGAGTCAGAATCAACTCAACAGTAATGGGTTTGGTTTGGGTATCTACTTACAGGCCAGGATCTACACTCTTCATGAATACTTATTGTGTAAATAAGTGTCAACTTTGATTTCTACTTAGGGATCTCTGTTTTCTAACCAAAACGTATCACTAGCTAAAAGCAGAAACTTAATAAAAGAATGAAATGTTCAATACTTATTTTCAGCAAATTAGTTAAAAATATTGTCTTGTTTACCTCTAAGAATTTTGAAAGGATTTTCCTGTTGAGTATTTTTCAAGGCATGATTTCTCAGAGACTTAGATTTTTATGTTTCTCGTTTTGTTTCTGATTTGGGATGGATACATTTTGAAAAGTTTAAAATTGTAGTTTACAAGCATCCATGGTTTAAGCTATCCTGCCAAGACATATCAAAAGAGTTCTTAACTGTAAATTCCTGTCATTTGGTCAATCCAAGTGTGTTTGGCCCCAACACAAGCCACTAATTCAAATCAGTTCCATCAGAACCCTACAATTATGTGTTTAAAAGTAAAATAAAACTTGGATGCTATGATTGAAAGTTAAAAAGATTGCTGAAGTAATACAAACATTTGATATAGCTGTTGGGCAGAGCTACAACATTTATCTAACATGAGTCAGAATGCTACCCAGAGAGCGTAATCCGTGCATTTTGTAGAATACGTACACTTGGTTTAATTGCTTAGTAGCAACTCCAAAGTTGTGCTAAACCTTGTTGCATTTTTTCAGAAAATGCTGACATAACCTCCATGGTATTTATGCACTTTATCCTTTTAGCCTTAAAAGTAAATGTGTCAGAATGTAATCAGATAGTATATAATCAAGTGAACATTGTGGTCCTTCTCTTTGCCTAGTAATTTTCTCTGATTCTAGAGATAAATGTTAATCAGTTCTTAGAAAAGTGAATTAATGTTCATTTGAAGGCTGAGTGTGCTGTCATAATTCCAATAATTCACAAAATAACTTATCTAAATGAATATAACTTTGTTTTTCTTGGGATAATTGGAAACTTAGAGATGTCGTACTTGGTGATAAAAATCCATCTGGGAGTTTGTTTCGTGGTGATGTTTTTTTTACTTTGTGGTGATTCTCTGTGTTCTTTCTATGTTCTCAGTCTTCGCTTCACCGTGGTCAGTGACCCTCCAGAGGATGAACAGGACCTGGAGTGTGAGGACATCGGCATTGCTAATATCGACCTCACTGACATGTTTCAGGAAGGGAGAGACATCATTGAGCAAAATATTGATGGTATGGGAGGACAGATTGCTCAGTTTGTACAACCAACAATTGCTGGAATCCCAACACTTTATTAAAACCTTCTTTTTGCTGGCTGCAAGGACATCAAGTCACACATTACTTGAATCTTTTGCAAGCTCAGGCTGGCTTTTTGTTGAAGCCAGAAGCCTCTCTACACATCCGCCGCTGCCCTCTCTTCTGCCTTTCTTTGAAACAACAGAAATTTTACAAATTAATTGAGCTTCACAAGGAATTTTTTAGCGTTGGTGGAGGGTGTGATAAAAATTTGGCCATTTGGATTTTTTAATGTTTATGGAAGCCTCATGCTGTCAAGCCTTATTTCCAGTTAAATCACTTTACTTTAGCCTGTTACTCTGAGTGATAATTAAAGTCTCTGTCTTAAGGCTTCTCTTTAATCCAGTGTTAAAATCCAGTGATACAGTCACTGCAAATAACTCAGTAGCTTCAGTCACTGGTTTGCCATCAGGACTCAGGGAGTAGTAAGAGATTCCTGACAAAATGTATTCCCTGGATTTTCACCTCACCAGGTATGATTCCCAACAGTGCTTAACTTCTACCCTTTTTTATATAATACATGTAAAACATACTGAAGAAATTGTACTTTATGAATCAGATATATATATTTTTAACCATGATCAGGGATGGCCTGGGCTATATGCGATAAAGAGAGAAAGGAGGCCGATTCCTAGTCTCATTTGTTAAGTTGACAAAGCCTTCGAGAAAACGCACGCGATATCTCTAACCACACAGCACTGGGTCACAACTTTGTTTGACAAGTACAGAAGAAAACGATGAGAGGATTAAAATATTAACCTAAACCCTGTTAAAGATTCCGGGACCAAGACAGTCTGACAGAAATATCCAAAATGATCTCTGCTTTATGTTCTTAATCTTTTTTCCGGTCAGTTCTGTTTAGCTACCCGTCTATCATTCGGTGAGGCCACATATGACCACACTGATCTGACATACGCAGCTGTACAAAGCTTGTGGCTTCGTTTTGGGAAAGAGTCAAAAAATTAGCCATTGGTCAGCTCAGAATTTTACTGCTTTGTCCTGTGCCAGGCATAGAAGTGAGACGTCCGTACCAAAGAAGAGGTAAAAACTTAGGGGAAATGAGTTGGGGAACCGCTTGTGCTACTGCAGTCTCCCTGCCTGCTCATTTCTTCACCGAAGTCTTACACAGCAAGTTTTGTTTGAAGGTTTCCTTACACATTTTCTTGGAATTAAAACACACACACATATTAAAGTCGAAGGAAAACCACAAGGAATATAAACAGGAAACTCATAAGTGCTATCAAGCTTACAAAGTCCAAGATTCTAGCCTTTAGTCTCTAGCGAGTATCATTGTCCATAGAGGGATAGGGGTCTCGGTTATTGAATCTGCATCCCATCTAGCCCCCGCCACTGGGGTCAGTGCAGGCCCAAGGCTTCAGAGCTACCTTCGGAGCACCACTGAACGCTGTGGCCCTTTTTCCAAGAAAAGCCAATGTACACTCAAAAGTTTACATCCGCTTTCCAGCAACATCAGTTCATAGAACCTCAGAGCCCATCCACAGACCTTCAGATTCCTGGGTGTGCCATCTTAGCTTTCTCCAATTTCACATAAAATTTATTTTAAACAGAATGTTTTTCTTAGAAAGATAAATAAGCAGTCTAAATTATGATCACGTGCAGCAGTTTGCCTTTCTGAAATTTGTGTTATTAACACTATACGTTAGAAGAAAGGCTTCTTCGTTGTCATATCTTGATCCCTTTTAGACTTTTTATTTCTTACCAGCTCAAAAATTCTGATTCTGCGTGGGAATCCCTGTCCCTTATCACTACATAAACGTCAGGATTAGATCGTTAGTTTTCGCTCCACAAACAGTATGGACATGTTTATGCAATACATTTTAAATGTGTCTCTTCATGCACACATGACAAGCTTTGTTTTTGAGACTTCTGAGAGAGCAGTGAAATTTGGACTCTTGTAGAGCTATTTTCATTTTTTTAACTACTGTTTCACTAGCCTATCTGAAGAACAATCTATTGAATAATATTAACACATACTGCTCTTTTTCTCCGCAGTTTTTGATGCACGAGCAGATGGTGAAGGTATTGGCAAGCTCAGGGTAACAGTCGAAGCACTCCATGCCCTCCGGTCTGTCTACGAGGAATACAGAGAGGACTTGGAGGCTTGAAGGAAACTGTCTCACTCCTGAGTAAATGCTCGCTTGAAAGCTCCGCCATGAGACTTTTGTAATTACTCTGGCGTATGTAATCTATAATTGATGGGAAACTGGGAAGGGGGGCCTGGTTTGAAGTGGTTAAGTTCTGTATACTTTTTCATTGGTTTATTTCTCTATTCCCTCTTTCCCATGACTGCCATCCCTCAGGATTTAAGTTCTCCACAATGGCCAACACCTTCTCAATAATTTATACCTTGCATGATAGCCTGAGAAAGTCTATTTGCATTTTCAACATTTTCTTATGAAGAACTGCAATGCAATTCCCATTTTTAATAAGCAAAAAGTATAAATCTTAGAAAATCTATGAAAAAGAAATACTTTTATGTGATCCCTAACCATCCCACTAATTGGGGTGCCTATGATTGCCCTCATTAAGAGTTTTATACTGTGAAGATTTTATTAGAAGCAATATATGAAAATTACTTGGATTAATGTGTTAATCTTCCTCTTTAAAATGCTAATATCCATTTTATGCACATTAAAGCTCAGTATGCGTTTCTTTGATGCATGCAGTTCCTATCAATTAAATATAAAGAACGAGACATGGCACCAACTTATTAAATTACTGCAGATTTTTTGTTTTTATTTCTTAAAAATTACAGTTCTTCCTACTCATATTATTTTCATCTATTTGTAATGGTGATATGGGACCCAGGTGTGTGTGTGTGTGTGTGTGTGTGTGTGTGTATTGTGTGTGTGTGTATACACACATATATATAATTTACATTTTGAAAACTTAGTTTATGACATAGAAATTATTAGAAATGTGACTCAGATTCTGATATGGTTTGTTAGACCTGAAAGGAGTATCTTTTTATCATTTTTTTAAATTTACATCAAGCTTGTACAATGCTTGGGTGTATCTGGATACCCAGATACTCGAAAAGCAGCTCAGAAAGTTAATTTTCTAGCCTTTACCCAATCTCACTGAAGGATTTAATTGATATTTTTAATGGAGCTGTGAATCAATGCTGCAAAGGAATTGTCTCTAGAGGGCTAGGATATAATGCATTTCATTTTTTAATTTACTTTTTTATTTGTCATTTTCTTCAAAGGATTTTTATAGGCTATGGGTTTTCACTGTTTGCAAACAGGCTATGTTCCTTCTTAAGCATATGTAAAGTATTCAGGGAGATAAGTAATTTATTAAAATCTACCTAATTTGCTGTGATATATTAAATCTCTGCTTCAGTGATCACAGACCATTTCATTTAGAGAATTAGGCATTCCCTCTTTGTGTGATTAAAGCTCTGGAAAATGAGTTCTTTGCTCCTATTTGTGAACATTCAAAGCCTGCTAATGGCAAGAAGATGGAATAGATTATGAGACAATTCATTACAGTTCAACAAAAAAAAAAAAGGCAACTATAATGCAAAAATGCAAGTATGAATATCTGCATATAGTTTGAACCATCTGTGCTCTAATGGCTTCAATAATGACTCTCATCTTTAGGAGGCTTTGAAATGACATCCGTACAATATTAATTTGTTGATGTACATTGTGGGTCCAGTAGGGTATGATCTGACCACAGAAATCTATAAATTCTGTCGGTACCATTGGGCCTCCCTGTCCCGGGGCCTGCCATCTCCGAGGAGAATCTTGCTCTCATCAAACTCTGCAAATCTTCGTAACAACTCATTCCTCTGGAACCTTCTAGAGACCACAAACATCTGCAGACTAAACCTCGCCAATCCTAGTAAACAGCCACATGTTTGTTGTCACTTTAGCTGGCTCTGTCTGAGCTCATCTTTTTGGCCTCTCTTTCTAGCTTTCTTTGGCTTTATGCAGCTCCAGTGTCATTAAGGCCCTTAATATTCCCTGCAGTAATTTAAAACAGCCAGATTATACCCTGGGATTAACTGAGTGGTTTTTGAGACATTTATTGTGGTATTCTCCCAGGAGGTTTGTATTATTGTTTTAAAACATTACATCCCAAACTAAATACCCTTTCTGCAGGGAGAAGAACCAGATTGCCCTAACTTCTTAGGATCTTTACGTGGAGAGAGGAAGTTTTCATTAGAAAACTTCTGGAATCTAGTCGGCTGTATGGAATGTATACCTCAGATAAGATCAGAAAGTTAGCCATGTCTCTGTCATGTTCGTGTTTACTGTAATATAATATTAAAGAACCCTTTTCTGGTTTTAAAATGTCCTGCTTCAAACGATTGTAAATTTTCACACCACTCATTTTCATAAGTAATCGAACACAGCCCATACATTTTGAAATGGATAAGTGGTATTGAATGCAATCATATGGATACGTCAACTGTGTTTCATAATCTGGCAGAGAATATTATTTTGTCTTGTTTTCACCAGAGTTCATTGAAAAGTTGCCCACCTTTTAGATTACAGTGCAGTGATTTTCTCTCGGTGAGCTAAGCCTGATCCGTTGAGTGTGGCTTGCGGGGCAGAAGAACACCAGCAGTGGCCTTGCTACACAGATAAACCAGTTTAAGGTGATGTTGGTGTCAATTTGCAGCTCTTGGTGTAACTGCACACAGTACACCCAGCACTTTTTTAAAGCTGTAATGCTTTTAGTTTGGATATATAAATAGAGATGTGATGTGGTGTGTGGGAGGGTGTCTTTTACATCCCTTTTGCCTACTGTAGTAGAAATGTCAAGTTCCTAGCCACTGTCATGAGAAGCAGTTGACAAAAATAAGTTTTATGGTTTACAGTGTGGTTTATGTAGAGAACATTTCTCCTCACTCTCAATTTCAACATGCTTTCTAAATTATCATGGTTTATTGCTGCTTAAGTTAAATTAGTTTTTTTTAAGAATAAATAGAGAGAATATGTTTAATCGAATAAAGAAAGGTCACGTTGAAATTCTGCTGTTCCTGCCACTCATTCATTACCACAAAATACAAATAATTTCTCAGTGTTATGAAGAAGTGTGGGCTGAGAGGTGGTCATGTGATTTGGGAGGTTTTGCATGCACTCATGTTCCCACAACAAGACACAGATTATTTTAGTAATCTGACATCAAGAGCCGTGCCAATGAGAACCAGTTCTTACACGTGTTCTGACGAGAATCTGATTAACGTTTTTGTGGATATGGAAAATAACCTTTTTTTTTTTAGTCAAACTGGCACTATTGCTGAATTTAGAATGATTTCCTTATGCACTAGATAGCAAAATGTGAATCATGTCTGCAAACAAACATGAGTAAAATGTCATCTTTGTGCAGTACAAAACAACCAAGGGAGAGCTTTTGGGATACAAAATTATCAAGCGACTGACAGTATCAGGATAATTCATCCCCAGTTCTGAGAGTACATTGTAATAACCCAGTCATGCCTGAAGGCTCTGACTACCTTAACAAAGAACAACTAAAGCCATGATTTATTATAGATAGGGCAACATGCCTAATTAGATCCATGAATGGGAGCAAACACAGCTTTAAGTCCCCTTTGTTCAGAATATAAACAACCTCCAGGGTCAACCAGAAAGCTAAAAGATATCAAAGCTATAAAGACAAGTGTTTTTAAAACTGAAAATGTCAAATTAGAAAACATCTCCTCATCTTAATCTCTTTTATCTTGCAAGATGGAATTTTCACTTCCATTTCAAAGTGTTGCTAATAGGCTGAACCCTACAGCCTGACTTCTGGAAAATAGGGCCCACGTTTCTGCTGTTGTTACACCTTTTGTTCTTGCCTTTTTATTTTCCGTATAAAACCAAAAAACAAAACCCATTGCCGTCAAGTCGATTCTGACTCGTAACAACCCTATAGGACAGTGTAGAACTGCCCCGTAGGGTTTCCAAGAAGCGGCTGGTGTATTCGAGCTGCCTGCGACCTTTTTGGTCCGCAGCAGAGCTTTTAACCACTGCGCCACCAGGGCTCGTTGATTAATATATTAACCATGTTTTTCCTTCAGTTTTTCTGAAATAAAATCTGGTATTCTCAAACTTAGAACATGGCCTTTTTTGTGGTAGATGCCTTTTGGCTTTTCTTCTGCTTTTTTCCCCTTCTCAAGAGTTACTGAGATTCACCTTTTTCATCCCTGTAACAGGATCACTTCTGTCTTCACTGGACACCATTTGTTTTCTTTTTTAATCAAATTTAGCATCTTGATCTTTCTAGTTCTGTCATCTCTTCTGTTCGCATCTGTACTCACCTGAGCATCTTCTATCTGTCCATCTCCTACTCCTTTTTAGTTAGCCAAAGTACATGTTTCCTTCTTCACTGTCGCTTATCTTAGTGCTACAACTGCGTCTTTAGATACCGATACCTGCTACAGTGGCCTTCCCAAAACGTTCTTTTGTGTCGAGGCTTTTCTTAATTTAACATAATAGTGGCACACTGGGTCAGCCATTATGAAAGCTGAGGAAACAGCACGCTAATGTTTCCATCTTTGCTGCTTTTACCTTTTACAGTGAGGTAACAGAGGGGCGGTTGGAGCTCAGAAGGCTCTCAGGAACCACTAGCAAGCTGCTGAAGCCTAAAGAATTTAAATTAAAAAAAAAATCAGGGAAATGTGTCATTAAAATCAAGCTTTATTTGCTGCAAATATGTTCTATTATAGTTATACGTGTCATCATTAACAGTAGGGGAAAATAAGAGAAATTTTAGAAGAAAACTTAAAAGACTACATACACCCTAGGGGTTGGGGAGACTTTCCTAACCAAAAGAGGAATGACAGAAGCTATAAAATAAAATATGGATCTACTGAGTATGTAAAAATTGAGCTAGGAGAAACGAAAGCTTCTTTTTTAAAACAATTTTATTTTGTTGTTGAGAGTATACGCAGCAAAACATACATGAATTCAGCAGTTTCTACATGTACGTTTCAGTGACATTGAAGTTATGTAACTATTCTCACCTCCTTTTGTGAGTTGTTCCTCCACCCCTAACATAAACTCACTGCCCCCCTAAGGTGTTTATCTAATCTTTAGAGTTGCTGTTGTCAATTTGATCCCATTTAGATAGTTCATAAAAAGCATAATACTCAAAGCAGACATTTTGTACTAGTTAAGCTAAACTATTGTTTAGTTTTAAGAAGACTTCAGGGGATATTTTTGGTTTAAAGTTTAAAGATTATTTCAGGGCAGTAGTTTCAGGGGTTCATGCAGCCTCCATGTGCCAGAAATTCTAGAGTCTCTGAGATTTTGAGATTCTGTTCTGCATTTTCTCCCTTTTGATCAGGATACTTCTTATAGAATCTTTGACAAAAATATTCAGTAATGGTAGCTGGACACCATCCAGTTCCTCTGGTCTCATGGCAAAGGAGGCAGTCCTTCATATGGAGGCAATTAGCCCCGCATTCCATTTGCTCCTCCTATTCCTGACTCTCCTTCCTCTGTTGCTTCGGCGAATAGAGACCAATTGTTGTGCCTTGGATGGCCACTAGCAAGCTATTAAGGCCACAGGAACTACTCAGCAAACTAGGAGGTAGAACCCAAACCCCACCAAACCCACTGCTGTCAAGTCAAGTCCAATTCATAGCAACCGCATAGGGTTTCCAAGGCTTTGAATCTCTACGGAAGCAGTCTGCCACATCTTTCTCCAGAGCCGCTGGTGGTTTCAAACCATCAACCTTTTGGTTAGCAGTCG